ACAATAGTTTGCCCTGTGCATGTGTGTGTGTGTGTGTGTAACAATAGTTTGCCCTGTGCGTGTGTGTGTGTGTGTGTAACAATAGTTTGCCCTGTGCGTGTGTGTGTGTGTGTGTGTGTGTGTGTGTAACAATAGTTTGCCCGGTCAATCTCCTATCTAGGAACACAAAACCGTCGTCCCAGGCTCACCTATACTTTCCATGGTCCAGCCCTGGAATCAGTCATTTTTCTGAGGAGCCCTGGTTCTTGTTAGTGGGGTCTAGTATTTAGAAACCTAAATGCTAAGAATGTTCACTACTACTGGTATGTCTCTGCCTCTGAGCGCTATCAGTAGAAAGAACAAGGGTGTGTGTATGTGTGTGTTTATGTATATACACACACATGTGTAAACACATATGCCTATGTATATTTGTTTACATACGGATGAATATGTCCACATATATACACATACATTTATATATACCTATATATACAACATATATATTCCCACACTTCTTCCCCTTTTCCTTAGTGATAATGTTGATTTACAACATCATCAATATATTTGCTGTCTCATTCCATTTCCATTCATTCCTGTAGGGAATGTATTTAATTAGTTACTGGTTTATCCTCCTATGTTTCTTTTTGGGAAAAAAAAGTGTATATATGTATATATATATATATATATATACACACACACACATAGTTCGCACTTCTTTCTTACACAAAGGCAGTATACTATACTCTTGTGCTTTAAGGCGATATTCTGAAAATCATTCTATATTGGCTTATAGACTCTTCCTCATTAATGTTTACCTTTGTGTATTTCCACATATATAATAGTTTACTCAAGCAATCTCCTATGTAGGACATTTAGGTTTCCCATATTTTGCTGTTATCAATCATGATGTAATGAATGTGCATGTATTTTTGTAATGTTAGAAGTGTATCTTTGGAGTAAATTTCTAGAAATATTAGAGCTGGGTCAAAGGGTACATACATATGCCATTTTTTAGATATTGTAACATTTCCTTCCATTGGGTTTACTATTTTGCTTTCCATATCAGCAATATACAAGAATGCTGCTCTTCTACAGCCTCTTTGAGAGTTCTGTGAAGCTTTTGGATTTTGCCAATCTGATAGATTAGAAATGCCACTGTGTAGTATTTATTTATTTATTACTATTATTATTATTATTATTGTGTTGGAGTCTTGCTCTGTCATCCAGGCTGGAGTGCAGTGGTGTGATCGCAGCTTACTGCAACCTCTGCCTCCCAGGTTCAAGCAATTCTCTTGCCTCAGTCTCCCAAGTAGATGGGATTGCAGGTAACTGCCACCATGCCAGGTTAATTTTTGTAATTTTAGTGGAGACAGGATTTCACCATGTTGGCCAGGCTGGTCTCGAACTCCTGATCTCAGGTGATCTGCCCATGTTGGCTTCTCAAAGTGCTGAGATTACAGATGTGAGCCACCACACCCGGCCTTCTTTTATTATTTTTTTGAGACAGGGTCTCACTTGTCAAGGACTCTGGAGTGCCGTGGTGTGATCATAGCTCACTGCAGCCTCGACTTCTTGGGCTCTGGTTATCCTCCCACCTCAGCCTCCCGAGCAGCTGGGACTACAAGCGCTTGCCACCATGCCCAGCTAATTTTTATATTTTTGGTAGAGACAGGGTTTTGCCATGTTGCCCAGGCTGGTCTTGAACGCCTTAGTTCAAGTGATCCATGCACTGTGGCCTCCCAAAGTGCAGGGATTAGGGGCATGAGCCACCACGCTCGGCCTACTTTTCATTTATATTTCTCTTATTATGCATGAAGTTGAACATCTTTCACATGTTTAAGGGTCTTCAGTAAATCTTTTTTTTCCTTTGTGGAGTATTTGTTCATGTATTTTATTCCTTTTTCAAACAAGCTTTTGGTCTTTTTGATCTCTTGATTTTGACTTCTTTAAATTAACAATCCAATAGCTTTTTACTTCTGATCTCTGTTGTAAATATTTTCTGTTAATTAATTAATTAATTAATTTTTCTCTCTCTTGGTTTTAACCATGCAAAAGTGCTTTAGTTTTTCTGACGTTGAACTTATCAATCTTTCTTTTATTGAATTTGGATCTTGAGGCACATAATGTTTTTTTTTTTTTTTTTTTTTT